GCCGGACTTACTGCTGTCAAGAACAAGGCCTGGAAGATCATCCATCAAAAGTTCTCCAATCAATTTGGCACAGATCGCACCTGCAATCGTCTCAAGGAACAGTGGCGACGTATGAAAGGTAGGTCTTGTTTTTATAATACTAACATTTTAAATCTTAAATTCATCATAGAAAATTAATAAATTCATCATTATAATAATAAATAATTAAAATATACCTTTATAAACGATTTTAAGATGTATCCCTTGCTTGTAGAGGCAAGAAGAAATATATAAAGTATATATATTCTTGATCAGGATCAATAGCCAAGTAAGTCTGTCCGTCTGTATGAACGTCTCGATCTCAGAAACTATAAAAGATTCAAGTTATGCCTACGCATTTGCAAGTTATTTCAAAATGTGGCCACGCCCTCTTTAACGCCCAAAAATAGAAAAGGTTAGTTATTGGGCTGTGTTTGTGTTTTTCGGTTATATCTATCGGTCTATTATTTCAGATGATATTATCAAAAATAATATAATGTAAAGCCCAATGAGGGTTACCTTATTATAGTCTTCCTTGATGTAATTTCAATAACCACATTTTTCAGCCTGCACTCGCAATGAGATTCTGGACTACAACAATCGCTTGGCCAGGTTTGGAGCCGAGGTGGCTGATCGCAAGAAGCCATCGCCCTTCACTTTCGAGGTGTGGGACTTCATGCAGGAGGCGAAGAAGGCCTGCAAATCGGAAGCCCTGGATGGCATAGACTACTCCAAGATTCCGCTGGCCTTGGAGGAGGGTTTTGAATATCGCGATGACTACAAATTCAATGTCGATGAGCACGATATGGATGAGTAAGTTTAGCTGGCATCACGGGAGTTTAGAGATCGATTACTAATAAGTGTTCCCTATTTAAGCAGCAGTCGCACGCCGCCACAGGAACTGTGCGATGTGGACATCAAGGAGGAGGAGAACAACGAGACCTTCAACGAGACCTTCAACAATCACCATCTCAACCAGAGCGACATCCATGGCGGTGGCGAGCGTCTGAGTGTGTCGCCCAATCACAGCATTAGTCGCAACGGGATCCACGAAGCCGACAGTCCTGCCACCGCCATTTCTGCAGCAGCTGGTTTGGACACGAGTGCTGCCTATCTGCCCGGCGGTGGAGCCGACATGACCAGCTTTCCCGGCAACTTCAACATGAACAACATATCCGCCACGCTGGAGGCTCTGAATGCCCTGCGATCTGGCCAATTTCCCAGTGCAGCAGCAGCGGCAGCGGCTGCCATGCACCAGCAGGCCCAAGTGGCCATGCATCACCAGCACAATACTAACAACAACAGCAACAACAACAACAACATCAACAACAACAACAACGAGGACGACGAGGATGGCATGAAGCCACTGGCCAAAAGGCAGCGCACCAGCAGTGGCAGTGTTTTGGGAAGCGATGACCAGCCATCCACGTTGGCCGCTACACTGCCTTCAGTGGCGTCCGATTCGCAGGCCTTGGAGCGGTCCAGCAGCAGCAGCAACAATGGAGTAGCGATCGCGGGTACAGCAACCAGCACGAGTGCCAACAGCATGGGCGGCGGCAGCAACAACAACTTCGAGCTGCGCATGTTCATGGAGATGCAGAGCAAGGAGCACATGATGCGCATGAAGATCCTGGAGGTGCAGTTGCAGGCGGCCAAGCACAGTCGCGATCTGGTGGAGATCAACAAGACGCTGGCGCTGCAGAAGCTGCAGGAGCTGGCCAGCAAGCGGCTGCCCAGTTAGGAGGCAGTGCACCAGCAGCAACAGCAGCAACAGCAGCAGCACCAGCCCATCGCCGTTTCATGTTACATTAGTTTATAGAATTAAAAGCCAAATCGAAGGTCACGTTCGCAGGCAGAGGGCGTGGCCGAAAGATTGGCTAGAGTTAGCCTTAAAGTTAGTCATAAGTTGAAAGCAGGATCCACACCGATACACCCATATACACTCACTCACACATACACACAGAGAGACATTCCTGGCATTGTTGATCAGTATTTGAAAGCTAGAAGCGAATCCCCAACGACTCACAGGACCCAAGAACCCAAGCGAGAATCAGGAGGCGCTCGGAAGTATGCCATATTCTTATGATGAATCGCCTACCTCACAAGCACAACACACAGCACGCAGCACACAACACACAACACACTCAGCTAGCAGACACACACAGATACACTCTCTTCTGGCCTAACCAGCACTTGACCAAGTCAAGTCAAGTTTAGTTAGTTTCTAGTTTTAGTTCGTATGGGAACCACTCTCTCCAAGTTGCTCAACTACCACAAATGTATTGTACTTACGTTTCTTGACTTCAGTTTAGGCTCTGCTACCACAACAAACCTAACGATTTACACAAATATGAAATGCACAAATGATTACTTTTCATAGTCCTAAGAGGAGAACTCCATAAATGTAAATGCAACATTATAATCGGCAGTCGTCTCTGATTTTAATTTTTACTTGTACTTGTATTTATTTTTATCTTTGTATAGACTATGTTGATATATATATGACCCCCCTATATATGTTTGTTTGAATGCCATATTAAATGAAAGTTCTTTTTAATATCTTATTTTCCATTTGCGCTGCAAAACAAATTGTTACCATATATGATATATGTACCGTACGTATAAGCAAGTTCCCACTATAAAAAAGGGGACTTGAGAAAGGCCTCGTCGGAGGCTTTTTTGTAAAGCGTGTAAATGAAAAATACAAATTATTTTAAATAAAATACAAAAAGAAAAACAAATTGTTTTGGTTTCTGCCACATTTTATTTAATTTCCTCCATGGGTATATGGTGAACCTTGACTGCGCGATGGATTTAGTCCGATTTCTTAATTAATTCCTTTCTTTGTTGGTTTTTTTCCAAAGATTGTATCTGCTTATCCACTTGGATGATCTTCGTCGTGACTTCGTTTTTCTGGCTAAGAATTTTTTCCCGCAAGGACTTCAGTTGCTCTCTTTGCTGTAAATAAATAGTTAAGTTAAGTGTAATTTTTTTTGGTAAATTTAGACCATACCAGCTTTAGGAAATGAATATTCTCCTCAGGCCTAGCCTTCTCAAACAAATGCTTGGATACATTTCTATGTAAAGGAACAAAATTAAAGATATATATATATAATAATAAAGATTTACTACTTAGATAAAACTTACTTGTTGTTTTGAGCTAGTTGACATATCCTTGGCCGTAATAACTGGATTAGCTTTTCTACCACCCTAAGCATCGCTAACTGGATATTAAATGTATCTAAATAAATTTCCGAATTACTAAACAAAATTTGTATATATTTCAAGACTGAAGGAATGTGTAAGCCAAACTGTCTATTTTGTTTTTCTCGAATAGCCTACTTTTTTGATATGCTTTATTTCCTCTCTTTTTTGATAGCGTTTTCGAATCTCTCCAACATTTCCCTTAGATCGTTTATTTGCTTCGAAAGATCTTCTCTAGTTTTCATAGCTTTGCGGCTAGTTTGTTTTTCAAGTTTTTTGATTTCATCTTGCAATGCCTTAATTTCATTACTAATTTCCTGAATCCTGTTCTGTCTGATCTTCATGAATTGCTCATGGCCCTATAAGAGTAATGTTATTTTTAGTAATTTAAGAACCGTTTCGTTATCTTGAGATACTCACAAGCTTAAGAAAATAGTTAAGTTCATCGCCTCGGCCTTTTTCAGTTAGTTTGTCAGAAAGTTGCCGTCTGTTGGTTTATGGTATTTATAATTAATTAAATAACACTGGGGAACAAAAAAAGCCCAAGATTGTTCGATAATGAGTTGGAACGGAATTGACCTTATTTTAATAATTTAGAATTCAGAAATTTTGTCAGGTTCCGGTTCATAAGGATTATTATTAATAACAAGCCAAAGTTTCCATGAAAATAGGACTCATTGGACGGTGTTCAGTTTTAAAATTACTTGTTTAAAGGTAAAATCCTTTTATATTTATTAACGTTTAGTGTTTTGCTTAAACTTACTGTAATGGCAATTTGTACAAAATTTTCCTGGTCCCCAGAAAGGAGTAGTCTCTTAAAGTTTGGAAAATCTTGGGAGAACTGTTATATACTTTCCTAGATTGCGGACTGACATAAGAAGGTGGTTACTATTAATAGGGTTTAAACTACTTACTTTACACTTTCTTGACATAACACCCGTGATTGCAATATTCTGTTGCACCTGGTCCTGCTTAGAAATCGCACCAAAACGAACATTGTTTGTTAAATTTAGAATACTATTAAAAATATATGGCAGAAACACATATTAAAGGGTATATTATGTTACATTTTGAGTGCTTATCAAAAGCCGGTGATGTTAAAAAGCAAATTAGTATAAAGTTTAATAAAAGCTAAGATACTCAAATCGGAAAATAAGATCTAATAGATAGGTGACTTACATTGTGTATCTTAGCATAAGATCCGCTTTAGATTAATTTTTAGCTTATTCTCCAAAAATTTACAAAGCTATTTCAATTTTGCTTTTGACAGAATAAATCTTTTTAAACAGAAATTATGCTTTTGGAAACAGGGTATAAAGTTTGTTTAAAATCAGAATGACTTACAAAATAAAGAACTTGTTATAAAAAAATAATCATATTTTTAAAAAAAAATAAGGGGCTAAGTCGGTGTAATTATAAGAAAAGTTGGACGTTACATTCAACATAACTTTTACATAATTAAGAATAATGTTAGGTAAGTCGTATTCCTTTGGAGTGCTTTTGTTGACAATCGATCAAAGATTTAAAATATATTTGTTTATTAAAATTCACTTAGAAAGTAAACGTCTAAACTAAAATTATTTTATACATTTTTATGCGTTTTGTATATAAATGTATCTGCCGCTAAATAATCACTGAAGAGCTTATTTAATATTCCGGTGGTTTGGTTAATTTTCTATATTGAAATTTATGTGGTTAGCTTTAAAAGAGCAAAAAAATCCATATGTTTACATTTTCAGCCGGCTTGTTCTTACAGATAAGAAAATCAAAATCCGCGATTAGTTATGCCAATTCAAAAATTTTATTGTTACACCACAATGTTATCGTTTAGGCGTACATAGTCTTGGATCGTGGACCAACTGGAGCGTCGTAGTAGAGTGGTTTTTGCTGTGGAGGTCGGAAGGGGTTGCCAGCAGGAGCTCCGTTTCCTGGTCCAGAGTGTCGAGATGGGACGGCGACGGCGGGAGCGGGCAGACAGCCCAGAAGGCCCAAGATCAGGAGGCAGCACAGTACGAACAGCTTCATGGTTTGCAATCTCAAATGTTTCTGAATGCCAATCTACGGCGAAATTGGTGTTTTTATACTCTTAACTGCGGCCCCTGGGACTGGGAAGTACCCGGGGGGATTTTGCTATTCGCTGAAATCACCGACTTTGGGTGATTTCTTATCGCCTGGCCGGGCATCGAGCTCCGCACTGCCTCCACGCGCCTGCTTCTGCCGCTTCGTCTCCAGATTGGAATTCACCTTCAAATCAAACTCCATGCCCCTTATGCAGCGCGTCAGATCGGTTAGGTTGCCCTCGATGCGTTTTTGCTGGATTGAGAGTTCATGGGATCGCATGTCCAAAACTCCACGTTCCTGGGGATGCCAAGTTTCATTCAGATGCATCATTCAACACCCACTTACCGTTCGCAGTTCCTCCAGTTTCAACTGTTTTTCTATACGACTGTTATCGGGCAAGATAACCAGATAACTTCTATGTAATGTTCAATAAATATCATGGTAACATCAAAGTTAGTACTGGTGATACTTACCTAATGGTGCAACTTCTAAAGTGGCTCAGAATGGAACGGATTTTTGTATTCATGTTCATGTGGATAAATATGAAACCGGTTAATTTTGATTGTTGCTAAACATTTGAAAGTGTTTTCAAAGTTTGATAACATGAAATATAGATGAGGGGGGAGAGACAGCGAAAAACCCTAACAAATTCGAAAGCCCAAAAGTATGCTATGAAATATTGTTTTCCAATAGGTGGCGCATGTGTTGCGTTTCTGTAAAACCATGTAGAATAAATTTAAAACATAAATAAATAAATTATAAATTAGAAAAAAATTTTAAAAAATATATGTTTTTATTTATTCATTCTTAATTTCCGAAGGGCACCTTTAAGTTCTTTGAGAACTACAATAAGTTCTTCCATCGCAGCCTTGGCCTCCGACGACTTGGTTTTCTCAAGGGCTTTAATTTGCATTTGAAGGGACTCGATTTGTGCTGTTAGTTCCATGATCCTTGCCTCTTTTCCCTTGTTGACTTGGAGCAATTTCTTGGGAGATATTGGATGTTTTTTGGGAACACAAAATAAAGCTACTCTAGGATACATACAACATGGTAAGGTTCGATACCGCCACTGTCTCTGCCACCTTTATCAAAAAGATCGCTGAACGGCCGACTTTTGCTGTTGTAAAAAAAGATTTATAAATTTTAAAGGGTTATACAAATTAACAGAAGCTTAAAACCCACATCAAATTATTCTTGAACAAGACATCTCCTGGCTTTATAAAAGCTAAGACCTTATATGCCCCCCGGAACATATTTTTCAACTTGACGATTAATTTCAATTAATTACTTTTATATTTTACTGAAATGTTTTTGTCGGGCAACTAGATTTGTTTTAATGAACATTTAAAGAGAATATTTCTTTATTTTCTTTTACTAAATTTGATCTAAGCAAACCTAACCCCTCATGCTATAAGCTTTAGCGTTTAACTTCCACGTTACTACTTATATTATATATTCTTATAATTTATTTTCATTACTGGTAGTTAGCCATGACTCGGGACTTCTTTACATTTATACGCAGTATCAACGAGTATAGCGTCACAACTCTACTAATGTTGTTTGGATGCATGGGAGATGCCATGAGTCAAAGCAGTGAGAAGCAGGTGATAACTATTTTGTATACAAATTTTGGTAAGTAGCGACCAAATCTAGGGCTCTAAAACCCCGTGTGCGACAATAAACGTAAGCTCGGCATTTGTGGCTACTGTGTGGTTTATTTGATCAAGTGTATGAGCAATTAAATATTAACGATAAGCATTTCGCGGTGACATAAAAGTAATCTTCTTCAGATAAGCATAGCATTTACATTAGATTATTTATATAGTCGGCAGCCGTAGGATTTCATTTAGGTAGGTATTTATTTGTACACTTCGCAACTTAAAACTACACCGCATTCAGCTGACACAGACTTAAACGATAGCATGTCTTATGGGTAATAAATCATTTCTAGGCGAGTTCCGCCTCAGAGGTTCGTTTCGTTGACATTGTGGCCTCGTCCACCTCCAAATCCTCGACCTCCCGTCGGAATGCGTGTTTGTAGATCACTGAAGCCACCAGAGAACCAGCCATGGGTCCCACCCAGTATATCCAGTGATCAGCCCAGGCTCCATTCCAGATGGCAGGAGCAAAGGATCGGGCCGGATTCATACTGGCCCCAGTCAGTTGTCCCTTTAAATGGAGAGTATTATGATTAACCATTATGATTAACTCTTTAAAATAATTGATAGCTTTATTTAGAACTAATTAACATAGTTAGCAAGCACCTTAATCTATATCACTTAGGACTGTCTGACTTTCGATTGTTTATTTGACAGCTAAACGATATAGTTTGATTTTAGCAATTCTTGAAATTATTATAGCTGAGTGTGTGCCAAGTTTATTATCATCAACAAGTTATTCAAGTGCATTCGCCTGATAAATCAAAAAATATATAGTGACCAAATTTAAAGTAAGATTAGTTAATCTCAAATTCTTTGAAAAAGTACTCATAGAAAGGTTGCATAAATTTTTGATGATGAAATTTTGTATTTACATTTTTCAAAAAATTTTGCTTTATTTATTTACTAAAAAATCGTTTGTATGTTGGCATCTTAAACAAAGAATATATATATATATTTATATACTATATATTGATATAAAATTGATTTAATGAGTCGAACCACAAATTTTTATTTTAAAAAGGAGTTATTAAACTAACAACCTAACAAATCTGGATTGATTTTAAATAACATTGTATTTCAAGTTAATTCAAGAGTAAGTTTTACTTACCGCCGTGAGGGAAAGGCAGGTGATGGACAGACCGAAACGCACTGGCACGGAGTCCTGTTTGGTGGCATTTCGTGGATCCCAGACGCCACAGCAAATGGAGATGAGGGCGCAGGTGATCAGGAACTCGATGGTCACGCCCTGCCAACTGGTCAACGTGCTGTCCAGCTCGGTAAGGCACACCCCATTGGGCGTATTCGAGTTGTAGATGGCATTCTCCGGGAGCACAGCCTTGAGCAGGCCGTATCCAATAAAGGCGCCCACCATCTGGGCCACAAAGTACGCCAGGGCCATTGGCAGCGAGATCATGTTGTACACATAGGAGGCCAGGGTGACGGCGGGATTCAAGTGGGCACCGCACACACAGCCGAAGCACTGGATGCAGATCAGCACTACGAATCCAAAGTTGATGGCGCTCTGGAAGTTCGAGTTTGTGAAGACGGAGTTCTCAACACAGCCCATGCAGCCCAGGAACATAAGCATTGCGGTGGCAATCATTTCGGCAAAGACAATGGATATGTTGTTCAGCTGGCGACGTTGCAGGAGCCAGCAGGTTGATTGGCTGCAAGATAGAAAGCACAATCAAGTTAGGAAAAACCATAAGGAAATATTAAGCAAGTACGCCTTTCATAAGCAACTTCTTATTAGTGATATATATTATATATATTATATTCCATAATTTCTGTATAAGTTACACTGTGAAGTTTTGTAATAGAAATCAATTGATTGAAATATAAGATAAAGTAGCAATTAAGATGCGTTTCTCTAACAAAGGAAAAAGTAGAAAAATCAGCTCAAGATTTTAAAAGACCATTAATGTTTAATTGAAATGTTTTACCTAATATAATACTTAATTTTCTTAAAAGCACCAACATTTTGTATCTAAAAATAAAATATACTTTATATTCAAAGGAAGGCCGAATGTCACTAGATTCCAGCTCCCGTTTCCAGTATTATATACTAAACCTAATTTGTAAAACAAAAATAAATAAAATAAATATTTAAAAGGTTTCTGTTTTTCATCCACTTCACTTAAACACAAACTAAAACTAAAAACGATAATTTCTTTAGTTTTGTTCAGCGATTTTTCTTCATTCATAAAGAAATAAAATTAAGTTATAAAAAATTGTAATTTCACTTGGTAGTTTCCTTTTTATTGTTCATTAAATTATTCCTTTCGAGAATCACCTGTTGGTTATAGCCATGATTGCAATGAGTGGGGACGAGCGATTAACCCAAACGGAGACGTGGTTCAACGTGGACTGGAGTGCACTCCAACTGCTCAATGGCTGCGAATCGCATACTATATCGCATACTCTTAATCGCCGACAATCTCATACCACAATTATCAGGGCGTCTAATCGCCTCTGGTCGTTTATCAGCTAGAAGTCCATCCTATATACTTGTGTTTACCCAAGTATTGCCGAACATATTAAATCGCGTGCTCCATTCACTCAAGTCGAGTGCGTGAGGCCCCTTTTATGACGTTGTCTAGTCCGAATTTGAGTCTTGTGATCGACATGTTATGGGTATTGTTGGTGGACCGATAAGGTATCTGACTTACAAAATGTCATCAATATGCTTAAGACCAGGTGTCGTTGTAATGGTTTAATCGCAAGAGGCTTACTTAGCAACCAATTGTTATTGTCAGGGCGCATTATCTGAGAAACCCTTGCAAGTCATTCACTTGCAGTATGCTATCAAATTTGAAGTAATTTAAACGGTTTTCTTATCAGAATCCATCAATAAATATTTTTATGAGCTTAGGAATTTTTGTTTTATAAATTTGTTAGTATGTTCGCGGTTTACAAACAAATGGGAGCCCCCAAAATGGAAATCTTCCGTCACCCCGAGTGTATGCTATGAAATCGCTTTAAAATTTGCCCATTTTGTATTGGTAAATGTAAAGAATATGTTTTAACTGTCTTTAATACTATTTTTTTTAGGACTAACATAGATATTGAAATAGAAAATAGTTATATAGCAAATATATTTTGCTATATATTAACGAAAAAGTATAAGCGTTTATAAGGGTAACATTTTAGAAACAATATTCTTTTTTGAGATCATTTGACCTTTCAATTTTTATATTTTATATGAATTTTTTTAATTCATTTGATAAACTTGACGAGAAATAGCAAAGTGAAATGCAAAATAAGTAGAAATAAAACAGTTTATCAAGTTTATATAGTGACTTGAAGGTATAAAAAAACAAAATAATAAAATAAACATAATAATAAAATATATCAACAGATTTTAATCAAACCTTAATACTATAAATAAATGAACAAATTACTGTCAAATTTAAAAGCTTTAAAAAAATATGAAATATGACATTTTGTCTTAATTGTTCCGAAGGCAGCTATAGGATATAGAAGTTCGATCTCCGCCGTTTTCAAATTTGATGTGCAAGCACATACAAAAATTTTATTCCGGAAGTTACAAATTTCTAGCTTTTAAACTTAGCTCGCAAAAAGCAAGCTATAACTTTGCTTTTTAGTAATGGACACAAATGTTTGTATAACAGTTATGAATAAAGTAGGTAGTTACAAAGTATTTATTTCGTAAAGATTCGATTAGTACAACTAGTTAATGTACAATAACTTATTCTACTACAACTTCTCCGATCATGCGGATCTTGGCATCGGAACTTCTCAGATCGATCTCCTCGTCGCCCTTGAAAGCCATCCTGTAGATCAGCGAGGTCACAGCACCTGCCACCAAAGGACCCACCCAGTAGATCCAGTGGTGTGACCAGGAGTTGTTCCAAACAGCTGGACCCAAGGACCTCGTGGGATTCATGCTGGCTCCCGTGAAAAGGCCCTGAAATGATTACATCCGGTTTGGATTTAGCTTCATGACACATTAGAGTATTAGAGTACTAACCGCTGTAAGGATCAGACAGGAAACGGTCAGGCCAAATCTCACGGGCACCGAGTCCTGCAGCTTGACGTTTCGCGGATCCCACACCGAACAGGCCACCATCACGAGGCAGCAGGTGATGAGGAACTCAATGAAGACACCTTGAAGCACACTGATTTCAGACGCCAGTACAGTCACACACGCGCCCGCCGGACTGTCCACTCCCTTGATGGAACTCCCCGGCAGAATGGCCACCAGAAGACCATAGCCGATGAGAGCACCTGCCGCCTGGGCCACGAAATAGGCGATGGCCTTGATCCAACCGATCGCACCGTACAGCAGGGCGGCCAGAGTAATGGCCGGATTGAGATGGGCTCCGGACACAGAGCCGAAACACTGGATGGCTATGAGGATGGCCAGGCCGAAGGTCAGGCCGCTGCGGAAGTGCGAGTTGGGGAAGGCGGGCGATTCCACACAACCCATGCAGGCGACGAACACAAACAGGGCTGTGGCCACAAGTTCACCGAAGAAACAGGCTATGGCACCCCTATGATGTCCTTGCAGGCGCCACCTGGCGTTCGGATTGGACTCCTGCAATTTTTGCTTCTGTTGCGACATGCTGACTGAACACTACTGCCAAAAAACGAACGGACGGCGACGGCTGCCCGGCGACGGCTGCGACTCCAAATGTACGGCAATCAATCAATATCAATTATAAAACCTTAATGCTAATTATCGAGCGCAGATTTCGGAGCAGCCCATTTAGGATAGATCAATTCATCAAGGCGCATTTCTGGGGGCTTTGCTCAGCCCGTAATTATCGGCCTGATAAGCGCCACTGCCATTTCGCCCGATTTGCGCTCAATCTTATCTCATTAAGATCTTTATCGGACGGCGAACGGGGCGCCAATGCCTTGGACAACACTTGCCACTGAGTCGATACAACAAGGCCAATAAACCTGGTCTATAGTCTCCTAACGCGACTCATTCGTAAACCAGCATTATTTTGAGGAATTTGCAAGAGGAGAAAAACCAGCATTAGCATATCACACATAGTCCATGGTTACAATTCGATTCAATTAGTATATTGTGTGTAGTGTCAAGGGAGTATTACGTTGGTGGGTGTGCCAAGTTCAAAGTCTGCTGATAAGCTCTGTCCTAAGTGTAGTTTGATTGGTCGATTTGTGTATACTTAAAATATTTAAAAATCTTATGACCAAATATCCCAATGACTAGCTGGTTTCACTTGCTATTTTTTACACATTGAATTTCATAGGAAGGATTTAAGATTTATAAATGCTTAATAGATTTTTGTTATTAAAAGTCATGAATATACTTTTTTTACTCTGTTCACAAAAGGTAAAATAACCAGTTTATGTCGCAATTCAGATGTACTTGAAATTCTCTGTTTTTTTTATTTATTTGTAAATTAAGCCCATCGAGCGTTTGTCGAGTTTTTCGCTCCAAATCTGGTTCTTAGTGTAAAAGCTTCTGTCTCTAAAATCCTTTTGTACACATATCTGTTATCTAATAATCCTTAAAGGCTTTAGGTTCGTTTCTGCTGCCCTGCACTAAATATGTTTATCGATCAATTAGAGGATATAGCCATGCTTAACTCTGACAGGAAAACGTAAGCACCACTTAGTTGATATCTAATAACCGAGCATAACACTCATTTCCTATTTAGAATATAAATAGGTAGTAAGTGTGCCTTGATTCCAATTTACTAAAATCGATTTCATTCTCATCGTGTAGTAGTAGTCACTCTTTTTATTGCCCCGCTTTGTTTCTTAAAGAGTTTCCAAATAACTGATTGTATTGTTTAAAATAGCAAGTTCAAATTAATTGAAATTTATTTATAATTATTTTTCCAGATTTATGGTCCCGTCTCTTTAAAGAATTCATGTTTTTAATGAATAAAGAAAACAACATCATAGTTATCAGTTTAGAATAGAATTAAAATCTCGATGTTTTTATTACTGAAGGCAATGAGTGTATTCACCAAGTCAATTAAAATTTCAAAAGTATTAATAAGCAATTTTGAATCGCTTTTGTAACGTTTGAGCACTTTGTGAATGCACTATTAATATTAGCGTACAATGAATGCATTATCATAAAATTCTGCGTCTTAGACTATAAGTAAATTAGTTAAGGCTTTCACTACAGCAATGTCTTTGGCACCTACGACAGCTGGACGTCCTCCAGGTGACGCAGTTTCTCGTTCGAGGTGATCTCCGCCTCCACCACCTCGCGGCGGAAGACGACCTTGTAGGCGTAGGCGGTGATGGCGGAGGCGCTCAGGGGGGCCAGCCAGTAGATCCAGTTGTCCTCGAAGTGCTTGTTCCACAGGGCGGGAGCGAAAGACCTGGCTGGATTCATGCTGGCACCGGTGAAGGGTCCCTAAAATAAACGGCAGAGGTTAAAAATCAGAAAATCCAACTGCTTGTTGAAAAAATAAAATATGTGTCCTTTAAATTTAGTCTTAATCATTATAGTAAAACTTGGCAATCAAAAAGCTAACTGAGCTAAATAAATAAAGCTAAATATCATATCATTATTACAATTTTACTTGGAATTGTTAACTATCAGAATTGGTACTAAAAAATCCAATAAAAGTTTTTTCTTTTGCTTAAAAAGCATTAAAAGATATTTAATAATTGTATGAGTGTTTTAAGTTTGCTTTAAAAATATCGTAATCATATTTAAATAGATTTGATTAGCTAAAAATTTATATAAATACTTTTGTTTATGTACTTATTCTGAAAATGGTCAACATATGTTTCATGAAAATCAACTACACAAAGGTAAATTGTAGATTTTGTAAGTTTTAAAAATACTTTTGTAAAATTTAAACCATATGGTCTCAATTGAAATCTAAGCTAGCGATCTAATCGAGAAGAAAACTGTATAGCAAAAAAACTATTATAATTAAAATATATAAGAACCATGTGGTGTAGTTTAAAACAAAACGCTTTGTAAACCAACTCTATGAGCTTATTATCTGTGTTTAATTTTTACTATAGAATAATATTGGTTAACTTACGGCAGCGCAGGCAAGACAGGCGATGGCCAGGCCGAAACGAATGCCCACCGAGTCGTGGAACTTGGAGTTGCGGGGATCCCAGACGCCGCAGCAGACGATGACCAGGATGGAGGTGATCACGAACTCGATGCCGAAGGCCTGGCCCGTGGTCACGGTGGCGTGGGGCAAGGTCACGCAGAGGCCGGCGCCCACAGTGAGGGTTTGCTGGGGCAGCAGGACCATCAGCAGGCCGTAGCCGATGAAGGCGCCCAGCATCTGGGCGGCAAAGTAGGCGAAGGCCATGCGCAGGGTGACCATGTCGTAGATGTAGGCAGCCACTGTCACGGCGGGATTGAGATGGGCTCCGGACACACAGCCAAAGCACTGGATGGCAACAAGGACGGCGAAGCCGAAGTTCAGCACTGTCTGCAGATGGCTGTTGGGGAAGATGTCCAGGTTGACGCAACCCATGCAACCCAGGAAGACCAGGATGCCGGTGCCGATGAGTTCGCCCAGGAAGGCGGAGATTTTGTCCAGCGTCGATCCCTTCATTTTGAATACCTTACAGCAACTGAAAAGGTCAGAGAAGCGGTTGAAAACTGCCGCACCAAATGAGCTAGCAACCCTCTCTTTTAGCCTTTGTATCTCTCTCTCTTTCTCTCTCCCCCTTTCTCACTCCTTAGCAGGCCAACTAACTTCATCAATCATATCGTATTTTATACCATCCTAAGTCTTTTTAATTCGAATTTAATCTTTGTCGCCAAGCGCTTACAACTAACTATTATGGAACTTTATTTTATCTATTCAAGACCTTTGCAATTGTTCTGCTTCCTGGGTGATGTCTAAAGGATTTTCCACCCCCTGCTGCTGATCCACCCCCTGCTGTTCGCGGTTCGTTGACATGTCATCGATTTTCCGAAGTCCCTGGCCAAATGCAACTTTTTTGATCCGGAACCCGTTGTCCGCGGTGGCAATGTCACAATGAGACTAAGACCATCGACGGTTCGATTAACTTTGGAGTACCCCGTACTAAATATAGGACAACAGTATTGCCTGTTCAGCAGTCAATTGAGATTATCGATAAATGCCATTTATTAAATGGCCAAAAAAAATCAATGCATGGCCATAAAACAATAACCAATCTTTGTCATTGTTATCAGTTGGGGGGGGGCACTTGAAAGATTGGTTTTCCAAACTGTACGTATTAATCCGTTTATTGTGATTATAAATCCCATGTTACTTTTGGGAGAATTTAACTTGTGCATTCTAAGTGTTTTTTATGCCCAAATATTTACCGAATCTCGTGGCTCATTTTGACACTTGTCTGGATATTGTCTTAGATCTCACACTTTATATTTTATCTTTTTGGGGACTTTTCGCGTTGTCGACCGCTTGGGAGCGAGTGAAAATTTACAAAGCGACAGCGGGACTGTCAATGTCAATCTGAGGCGTTGGAGTAGCCATAGACAAATATTTATATCTGTATCTATATTATATTGCGTAAATCAAAAGCCCATTTTTAGCCGCCGTGCTGTGAGAGAGTCCCACACACACAAACACACACACGCATCTTGAGAAGCGAACCACAAACACAAACAAAAACATTGAAATTAGCAAATCCTACTGGCGGAGCATAAAAAAGTCAAGTGTCCAGAATTTATAAGCATCTTCAACGCTCATTCGTCGCTCTCGCTCACTCTCTACATTAATCTCTATGTGCTATAATCTCTGGAGCGATGCTCTCTCTCTCTCTTGCACAGGTTCCATCTCCGGTATTAAAATATTATAAAATGTGAGAAATAATATATTAACACCTGTCATGAAGTTAAGCTAATTGTCTTTGCTTTAATATAAGGAAAATTATCACTTCAGTTCACAAAAAATATGATTAAACACCATATTCTTGGTGTATTTCTTTGACCAAAAAAAAACAGGTAGTTTAAAACTACTTAACGTAAACTGATTACAAAAATTCTTTTGTACGTGTTTCTGTTTTTTTTAGTACTAAGAAACGCATAACGAATAAGTGGCAATTTTCAAGTTTTTAATAATTAATTAATAATGGCATGACAAATGTAGATGTATTTTAACTAATCTTCGTTTTTTATTGACCTTTTCCTTATTTTCCTTTTTTTATTATTCTTTTATAATTCTTCATATTATGTTTTAAAGTTAAGTTAAGTTAAGTTTAACACAACTTGATATTGAAAAAGCCTATAATTATTTTCTGTGTAGATAAAGGGGAGAATGGGCGGTGGGCGGATGACTGTTTTGCTGTGCAAATGCGTGACGCTATGGGACAATTGAAACTGGCCACTACGGATTGATAACAGAGTGGCCGACTATCAATTACCACGGTCGATCTCGATGCCTATCAATTGCAATTGCAATTGCTGCAATTGAGGCTGCATTGCGTGAATCGGAGTACGCAATGTGGCAAACAAATCACGGCAAATCTCAGCACGCCTGTCGATCAAATTGCACGCAATTTGCGTTATTAAATGTCTCAATCACAATTGGAGCGGCAGCTGGCAATAAAGTATTAAAAATAAATAAATAAATATTTTGAAAGCGCCAAGTGTGCGTTGCATAAGCGCGAACACGATAACCCAGGTGATCTCTCCTATCGAGCAAATGGATGAACTTTTCCAGAACATTTTGACCTACAAAGCACCTATTGCTTTCTAACTAAAGTTTATTTACCATTTCCAATGGAAGCCGTGGAGAAAATGGCAAAAAGGCAAAACGTTTTGGCTTTTGGCCAAAAGCAATGTTTGGCCAACCCATTGACAGTTGGTCGAAAGAGAGCGACACGTTTTGGCAGAAGGCGAAGAGACCAAAGTCAAACAATAAACACGCGACGGATCAAAATGTTAAAAATAAATAATAGTGCACAGCGCATGCTAATAATTTAATTACCACCTGCGCTTTTATTATATTTTCCATGCCCAGAAGGATCACGTATCATTCATGGGACCGCTGCATGGGCCACGATTTCCCATACCCCGAGGGGCCTAATTGTTTGGGATGATTGATCTTTATTAATACTAATAATAATCTATTTTCATTGTTTATCTAACTGACGGAACGTGACTGGGAGGTTCTATTGCCACATTTTGGGTGAGTGTGCTAAATCTTAACAGCGGAAGTGGGCTCTGTTAATTAGCAGAGGTGTGCGATAAGAGCGGACACTGACACTCCTCGAAGCTTTTTGTATAAGCTTTGGCCAGAGGATTTTAAGCTTTGTTAGAGCTTTGATCAGTTGGCTTGCGAAAAAGCTTCTGGCACAGCTTTCTTATCACTCATTAGTTAATCAAAATTAATTATGACTAAGAACTTGGCTATAAACTTTTAGCCAGAAGCTCATCGTAAAAAACTTGTTAGCCTGTAGAACCGTTAATCAATCGCTGCTGATAAGCCATAGTCGATATTTCCTCATAGTTCTGGGCTGCTTAAGAAGTGATTTTTAGCTGTTGGCTCTAAAAAATAACGCCATTAACCATAAACCATAAGCCATAAAGCACAACCACTGTCAGCCAACCGATAACGAGCTGAGTGATGATGCATTGGGATTGTCAGTGCCTGGCGGCATAATATCACAGGCTTAATTTGGCCATAATTGGGCCAACTCAAATCGGATTTACTCGTCAGACTTTTGACATCGCCCCGCATTTATGGCTTTTTCAAAGTCCGATAATGATCGGGTGTCGGCTTATTGCAGAGAAGCCACATTATATAGGTATAGTATGTTTTTTATGGCATTCCAATTGCCAGCTGGATCGTAATTGAAGCTTATTACTCGGATAGTGGCACGGGCGGAAGCTTTAGTTTTCATTGATCTTGATTCACAGCAGCCTCCTTTTCAGAGCGTTCTTATCTTTGCGGCTTATCAGGGCAATGGAAACTGTTGACTGTTTCGTTGCGCAACAGGTTGTTGGCATCTACTACCGCCAAGTACAATGTGCATGGGCCTTTTCGCCAGCTAATTTATGGCTGCAAATATGAGGGTAATTAAGTGTTGCCCAAAAAAATAAAAATATAAAGATCTTACAATTAAGTTAAGCGAGTCAGGTGTCCAGACATGTGAAGGTTCCCCTGATTCTGGGGCTAAAATTAGGGGGCTTTGGCTTATCAGTTGGCCACGAGGTTGGCCCACTTGAAACTTGATTGTTCATATTATTTGTGAAAAGCTTTGCAATTACTAGACCCTCACAAAATAGACAACTAATTAATTACTAACAAATAATATGTATTAGGAGGACTGATAGCACTCAGCATTGACCTAGGCTAAGAATTCAATTTTGGCTCTAAAGAAGGCTTGGCAGTCGTAAATTTATGGTTCCATGTGGCATCTAATCAAGAAGTTCGTTTGACTGTTCGACTATTTATACCCGATTCTATATCTGATAATCCAAAAGTGTGCACGAGGCGATAAGGAGTGAATGGCACTTATACTTAGCTGGAATTAAGCTAGAGCTTATGCATTATGCAACAGCAAGAGCAACAGCCAGCAATGTCTTGAATTGGAACTAAACTTTGCTCAATGACGGCTGAGACCCAATTGATAACCCCACGGCAGAGCACCTTATCAAGTGCGAAAGCAACCAAGTTAATCACATTTCCGAGTGGTTACGGTTTGCCTAGCACAAATATGATGTCGTGGGATTGAATGACATCAACCAACTGTGAAAGATCACAGCATTATAGTTATAGCATAAAACTGGATTAGCTAAACACAATTAGCATATAGGAAATACCATATTGGACACTTGACTAGCCCAATTTGAGCCTGGAGAATGTTCCGTGTTGAACCGGTTTCTCGATCATATGATGACGTTACAATTGGGCCAAATCAAAATCCGTTTAATGGAGCCACTAGCTTATTGATGGGGCACGCGAATCGCCGGTTGATTGATTTATCAACTTTGATTAGCACAAATTATCGGACAACTCGTGAGTTCCAACGAAAAGATCATAACCAAAGACATGTGTTAAATTATATTAAATCTGGATTTTGCTAGACATACATTGTTATAGACTCGAAAAGGGTATTTTACTTTTTAATAGGGGTTTGTAAATATTATTATTTAATATTTATTTGTGTTTTAAAATAACAAGCTTTTGTTGCTAGATTTTTTGAGTTTGTCTAGACAAATTTTGATCGATCTTGGGTAATGTTTTTTTTACAAATTTTAAGTTATTGTTTACTTTAAACTTTTACTTCTGCTTAAAGTTAAGTTTTAAATTCTTTAGCTCCCGATTTATAAAGAAGTTCTATCGCTGAGATAAAGCTAACAAATTTATCAGCAGCTGTGACCCTCGAGGCAGCCAAAAAAATAATTTGTTTGGTTTTTTTTTTCTTCTTTTTTGTTATTTATTTTTTTTTTGGTGGGAGTGCGATTTCAAGTTGTCGAAGTGCGGCGATAAAACTTGAGAAGAGAACTGCTTTTACACACTTTAAACGTACACCAAGTTTGTGTGTGCAAGATATACTCGAATATTTTTGAGTGGCCACATAACACAAGGCACTTAAAGTATCATAAAATGATCAATTTAGCGTGGGCACTATGCAAAATCGCCTGATCCAAGGCCCAGAAAGGCCGTTTGTTTACTTATCAGGCCGTTTTTTTTATATATTTTATAAAATCGTGTGACCCCGCCAATCGTGTTGCTATACTTATTTTTCAATGATAATTTTGATAAGGCTGCCGCACACCAGCCGTCCTCTAATTAGTATACGACAACAACAACAACAACAACAATGGCTCGGCGCAAACATATATAAATGGTACATATAGCAGAAAGCTAAAGTGGAACATTGAGCAAATGTATGCGCATTGCGCACATAGAGTGGAAACGTTTTCCAAAAAACCAAAAAAACCAAACAGCATGGCACAGTTCTTTAAAAATAAACATTCTCCGGTAAAGTCGGTCGGTCGCTTAACCCAAGGCAAAACATCGGCCCGAGTGTTAAATGAATGTCAAATTGGGAAAGAAAGAAGCACTAAGGAATATGATGGCAAATATGTATTGTAGCTGAATTACAATTTGGCCTTATCTAATTACCGGGTCTGGAAGTTACGCAACCGTGGGATAACTGACAATTACCCACGAGCCACGAGCTGCATGCCTGCCTATCATCAGGTGCAAATGCTAAATAATGCACATAATTATAAGTCAATAATGCGGTAGTCGGTAAACAACAATATTAATAAATGTGCAAGCAATGTGCCTAGGTGCTTGCAATTGTTCTTCGCTTGTTTGGTCGCCATTCAAGGCGCCCAGTGGCGCCGTGGGAGTGGGAAGTTTAGCTTTTTATGGTTATACGGGGCGAATCAAGCGATAAGTTCCCGCTGCCAAAGTGGAAAGTTGGCAAAGATAGCCAAGATAGCCCAGACAAAATTAAATATTTGAATAATATTAACATTTATAAGCCATTACACGCGTGCCAACAGAACGAACAGAAGACAACAACAAAACACGCACTCACACTCTTCGAGATATAGAAATACTCCGTCAACAATTCACTTAAAATGTATCACTGGCTTTTCAAAGCCCAGGAATCAGTTCGTAAAATGCTTCAAAATGCGAGCCCGCCAATATCGAAACGCGTTATGCAAAATGCCTTTTGGCTCCAGTCAACGCACTGCAAGCCTTTTTATATCAAAATCGCCTCTCTCCTCACATTTGTTTTTTAATGAAAATTTAATACAAGTTTGCTAATTAATTAACGCACACTCAAAAGACCACGAAGAGCCAAACTAACCTGCGTTTCGGTCGATCGTTTGTTTGCTATTGAGTGTAGGAAATGCCGGCAGCTAAATACGCGCGATCGACTGCGGGTGGGCTGCGCAGTCGGCGTCGCAGTTGGACACCATGGCGTATTATTGTTGCTGCTATCAAGCAGCGCAGTCGCTGCCAACGAAAAGCCAAAGCAAGCAGTGAAGCGAAGCAGCAGCGCAGTCGACTTCGGATGTTCAGCTCTTATCGCTCCAGCAAAAAAGAAACGCCAGCTGCGCAGTCGACGTTTTGTTTTTAGCCAGTGATGCGAGCTTTTGATAGTGCTATCAAGCAACTTGTATCACGTAAATATTTGCTTTGACTTAAAAAGCAGATACGGTAAGCAGTGCTAAGCAGTGCCCTGTAGACAGTGACTTAAGCAGTTTACGGACTGGTTTTCTTGTTTGTTTATTTAATGCAAAGAATTTCTGAATGTGAGACATTAACTCTTATGAACTCAATTTTAGGTTATTCACCAAAATTTATTTGTTCTGACACTTACAAAAATATTTACATGATAAGGGGAAATTCGCAGAACTTTAGTTAAAATGTTTTTTAAATTTATCATAATAAGAAATTAAGTTAAATCATCTCAAAATTTGTCCGCGTATTTTACCATTAATCATAGCATCATTTAATTAGAAATTGAGTCATAATTTACTGTAATATAGTATCAAAACTCATGAATTATTTATTAGGCATAATAAAACAATCATAAAGAGAAACTTTTATCTAAGAAAGCCAAAAACATTTGGAAACATATATTTTTGATAGCTAAAATATTTTTTAATGCTATAGTATTCTTTATATGATTAATACATTTTAAATTCGATACTGGTGTCTTAAAATATAAGTTCGTAGTGCAACTTTGACTTGGTCTATCGAATTCTTGAATATTTGGGAGCTAACCAAATTTTATTTTGTATAAGTGTATTAACAAATAAAATAGTCACGCAGAATTAAGTAAACAATTACAAACCCCATATTTCTCATACTAGAACACATTAAGTATTCTAAAACGAACGAACAATTAAAATACAAGGAAATGTGACAGTCATTATTATTTGCTTAATAATTTTTTAATTTAATTGTTTAATTATCATGCGACTACAGAATACTTAAATCGGCAGTTGCCAAAATCCACACCGTGCAAGTGATAATCAGTTGATTACACCCGTGTTTAAAAATGCTTAAATATTAACCTCAAGTGGCGATCCCTTTTAAATAAATCAAATAAAGATAGATCATAATTAAGAGCCTGCCACCAAGTTAAATCAACTGATGACTAAACCGGCGTCAATTTGACTTTAATGGCTTGAAGTGGCGCGCCCTTTTTGATAAGAAAAATCACGAGGGGTGGAAAGTGAGAGATTAACAGCCCCCCTGTTTGTTTAACTTTGATTTATAGTGTTTACACTTACCTTCAAGGTTGTGGTGATCGGAAAACTTACCCAAAATATTCCCAGCACAATTATATGGAACTCACTTGAGATAGCACTTATCACTCACGGCTAGCACGTCACTTAGCACGAATTTTGAAGACTTTGTCGCGATTCGGATTTCCATGACGGATTTCCTTGTGGCCTTGACACTCATGTCGCTCGACACCAAATGCTTAGACACATGACGCGCACCTTAAGCGATATGCAACCAATGATTTGCATAGACCATTCCACGGCGGAACATTTGAAGTTCGATTATAAATTATACGCGATGGCAACGATGCCAGCGATCGAGGTAGAAGCAATTTAACTTGCTAGATTAATAAATAAATTCAATGAAACCGCAGCGAATCAAAGAAGTGAATAGAAAGAAGCGAGGCAATGGATGTTTAGATACTTATCGTAAAACTCCCGCGCTTGTGACACGGACTTCGATCCACTTTGTTATTAAGTTTATATATATTATATGGTATTGGGGTGTTTACGGATGGGTGATTACTGGTCTAAGCCAGACTCCCTTGATTTATGGACACATCATTTCTGTCTAGCGAAGCTAGTTAACCGACTCGAGAGTCTACCAAAAAAACTGGTTAGACAGCCTGTGAAAATGCAAAATAAATAAACAAAACAGCGGCATTTGTGTTTTCTTGTATTTGCAATTCAGTTCTTGATTCACTCGCTCTTTGTGCCCGGAGCCAAAAATACATTTTCGCCTTTCTGTTTTTTTCTCGTTTTTGTTTTTTTTTTTTCGTCGGCAAAGCTAAAAACACTTGCGCACGTGACGTATACGCAACGTGGCACCGAAATGTGTGTCAAATTTGAATGTACGAATTAAATGTTGTAATAAAAAAGCAAATTATTTCGCACCTTCTTTGCTTTTGTTCGCCAATTTCGATGCCCATCTTCATTTGCTGACCGATAGTCACAGACTGCGACTGCTGTTGCTGCACTGGCATTTCCTCGCACTTTTACTCCTATTGTGTGGATCGTTTTTATCAATTTTTCTCGTTTTTGTGCGGCACTTGACGGAGCCCGGCAGCTAATTGAATTTCCCGTTTGCAATGGTAATTTCCCTGAATCGGATTCCGTGCACAACTTCACTGCGTGTCGCGAATTCGGACTCTTGACTCGCGGACGTTGTATCTGTATCTGCGGAACGGGTATTTGTATCTGTATCTGCAGGCGGTGCGCCGCATGTGAGTTTAGCTTTCGAGCGCCGATCCACTGACTGACTGCCTGACTGAATGGCTGACTGGCTGAGAGTAAACGCTGTCGCCGTTTAACAAAAAACCGCCAAGCGCCCATCAAAAACAAAATCAAATATCGCAAAAAAGGCATGCCATAAAAGCGAAGCAGCAACAACCACAAGTGCCATTAGACACGATACCTTATTACCCAATGGGTATACCTATGCGATCCGCGTCCATCTAGATAGTGCATTAGTTCTGATCAACAAGTACAACGGCCTTACTTCAATTGTCGAACTTCCTATTTTCAAGCTAACCAAGTGGAATTTTCCCTACCTCAAATCCAGCTGATAAAACAACCAACTGCTGAGTGATTCAACCTTAAGTACTTCAACAATATATAAATTTAAGCCTAAAGTGCTACAGTTAAGTGTTGCTTAACCATTCCACGTATATTTTTTAAATGTTATAGAAGTCTTAACACTCTAAAAATAGTACCATAAATATTTTCGAAATGTTATAGGCAGCAACTAAAAGATTTGTTATTAATTTTTCTAATGGTACTGATACCTTAGTAAAAACTTAATTTTTTTTTTGTTTTGAACTTCGTAACATAAAGTTATTTAAGTTATAAATGTCCAACTGTATAACCAAAAGTTACGTTGCCAAGGAAGCAAGTTATAAAAAAACCTTTGTCATATTACTTGATCAATCTATCAAAAAAATATGTATGCGTGGTATCCGGTTGGTCGAGTACTTGAATTTTCCACTAGCTTCTGCGCGTTTTTTGACTTTTGTTTTGATTCTACAGGTCTAGGGTTAACTATTGCGATAGAGGGTCACTCTTCGAACGATGAATGGATGTGATCTCATTCGGAATTTTTGGTAACTAACCCAATTGGTCACGTAATTGCTTTCAATACCTAAAGTAATTATATGCCATTGTTTCGCGCAGTGAATGTTAGCTTGGATTATAACTATTGCTGTTTATACGAAACCCTGTACGGCACCAATGCCAATTCCGCATTGACGCAAAGATCGCTTTTACATATATGTGATTAGGTTTATTCGCGTGCGATATGTTGTGTTTGTTTTAGGGCTCTGCAATGGGGTTCTTTTTTTATCCACAATATTGGAGGCCCGTTGTGATATCACTTGTCGGCAAACAATTTATTGGGGGAGTATTGTTCGGGCTGTAAAAGCAATTGATAAAAGAATGTGTTCTGAATAGACTGCCAGACAGTAGAAATGAGCTTATTGAGTTTATGAATTAATGAACTTCATTTATATAGTAGGGCTCCCGTAATATTTACAAAAAGGGTGTTTCTTTGCCGGCAGATATAGTGGATGTCCATTTGGTACTGCATACTTTTAGGCAAATTTATACGCAAAGTGTATACTTTTAGGCCTTTTTACAAGTTCTTTCAAAAATATTTCACAAGTATTTCTAAAATATTTAAAATTAACATTTACTTGTAATTTGTTTTTATTAAAAAGCCATAGTTTTTGTTGAAAGTTGATGAAAGTACTAAAAACAAACGCAGCTTAAACAAGTACACTTATGTCGCCACCAAAAGCTTTTAAAGCTTTTGTTTGAATTTTCCAATAACAAGCTTTTTATACCCTTGCAAGAAAATTTTCCAATTTTATCAACTAACATATCAGCAGCACCAGGCGAGTCCACATTACAAAACTTGACCATAGTGATAATAATGATAACAAAAATATTCGTTACCTTAAAACTATATGAAAAATGGATGAAAGTTTTACAATAGACTTGCAGATCGAAGCAATAAATAAATCGAATCGGAAGCGATAGGTTATCCTGGTTAGTAATAATAAGAATAATAAATAGGTTTTAAAACATAAATCGATATTGCTCCAGAAAAAGCAGTACAATAAGTTTTTAATAAAAAAATATTCTTAAATTTGGGAAATCATTTATAGTTTTTAGTGTAGGTTTTTAGTTTTATCAAAATCTGAGTATTAGGAAAGATCCAGTCAAATAGTAAATTTTTTGCATTTTTAGGACTATTTTATGTGAATCTAGATATGATTTGATTAATCGGTTTCAGAAGAATGTTTTCAAAATCATTAAAATTAAGTTCACTAACTGTCAAAGGAAAAGTCAAGAAAATTAGGTATATTGAATTATATTTTTTGATTAAATCAGTTTTCACATTTCTTAAATGTGAGGTTACATTTAAAGTAAATATATTAAATACATACATGAAATGAATTGTTAGTATTAGCTAAATTGTAAGTTATGAGATAAATATAAAACAAAAATACTTTTAAAAGACTTAGGCGCTATTTTATTAGTTGTGGCATAATAAAAATATAACTGCTTCGTAAGAAAAAAAATAAAGTAAACATATATTGGTAATTCCCACTCCTTTTCTATCAATTCCCAGCAGCGCCGTGTGGACATCGACTTGACGTAGTCCAGAGATCAAAAATACCCGACTGCCAGCGATTAACAGGAATTAACATGTATCGCTAAAGTCGGCCAAATATTGACACTCGTATGAAGCGAGTGACGGAGATCGGAGATTGGATATATCCGGTCCAGCGAACCAGCGATCCAACGATCCAGTGACGAGGAGAAGGGTAAAGGTAAGAGTAGGAGAGGAGGTGCTGGGGGCTCTCGAACTGGTTAATGTGAGTACGTATACGTATAATCGATTTCACACTACTTTTTAATCACTACAAAACATTTATTGTTTGCCCGCAGCGAGAAAAGTCAAACAAAAAGCGGCGACGAGTCGGAATGGGTCGAACGCTGAACAAATTGACTCGGCCACATAATTAGGCACTTGCCCATGTCCACAGCTTGTACCATATACATATAGCATTTACCATACATATCCCATCGGATCCCATGCAGTCGAAAGTATCTCACGCAGATGGCACAAAAGGTTTTTATTGTGCGTACCCGTTGACAGCTTCAATCGACGGGGTTTGGCTTTGGCTTGACTCGAGGTTTGGTCTCTGGTCGCTGGTCTCTGGTCCCATCGTTTGTTATATTTGTTATTTATTTTGCGGTTATAATACTTATGCACTGGGCTGGACGGAAATATATTGGCATTCATTTGGCGGGACAAAAACATCACGGCGTTTTTACAGTTTCAAGCCGCGACGCGATGATAAATTAGCTTTGTACGTAAATTCAAAATGGAAAATCAGTATGTGAAAATATCCATAACGCCGTATCCAACGAATGCGAGGGACGTCTCGAGTAATTGTGTAAATATCTTGTCGCTGCATGACAATACCCAGACTTCCCCCTTTTTTTTTCTTTGGCGGACAATGAATGCCACATTATTATTTTGTAGTTTGTCAACCGAACCGAACCGAGCCGAACCCAACCCCAAAAAAGGCGTTTGCGATGAGAGATGAGAGATGAGAGCAATGCGATAATTCAATGTCGCTCGGCCAGCGCACGGATGCAGATACAATATCTTTTTATACTTTATACACATGATGACCGCGCAGGCCAAAGGAATTGTAATTACGTGTGGCTGTCGCCTTGTACGTTCATTTGTATCTTCATTTGTATCTGCATCCCGTGTATCTGTATCTGTAGCTGTATCTTCAACAAAGGCATCAGCATAACAAAGCATCACCCATTGCTGTAAGCTCCGGATCTGGCCCTCTCCCTCTCTCTCTCCCTCTCCCTCTACCTCTACCTCTCCCTCAGTCGTTTCGCTTAATAAGCGCCTAAATAGTGTCAATGATTAATTGCTTTTGTGATTAGATGGAAATTTAATAGATTTTTTATTGTGTGCTCTGGCCAAATTGAAATTCTATCAAGGTGCCAGAGCTGGAGGCACGTCTACTCGTTTTTGTCTCTGCAGCAGCATCATTATTACCCTCGACACACAACTACGGTTCAGTTATTTGTCAGCTACTCAAAGCAGCTACCGCGCCCTCCCCCAAAAACAAAAAACAGCCGCATCATTGTTACCAATTTCGAATTCAAATTGAAATTCACACGCGTCACGCTGCCAGAAAGTGCAAGAAACGCTTGATCTGCTCGCTGTTTTTGGCCCGCCTTTCAACTTGTTAGCTTACGGAAAACTCCCAAAACACTCCCCAAACACCCAGAACACCCCCCACCATCCGAATTCCTCTTATATTAAATGTGTAATGCCACCGCAAAAATCCACAAAGCCGCCAGAGACCACAGGCAAACGGAAATAGATACGTAGAAGTCCTTCGTCTTCCAATCTGCTCAAATCCCACACAAAGTCGCAAAAGAAAACACACATTGAAAGGGGAAATTCAAGTGGAAATTACTCAATTACAAGTTCTACAGTTGAGGGGACACACTGGTTCTCCGATTCTCCGGTTATCCTGATGATGATAGTCCAAGAACCTGGGGCAGAAACCCTACAAATCGCCAGCGATATGCGATGTATAGTGCATGTGCGATAATTACACTCCATAAAAGTGGGGGAGACAATTATGTAACCCGATAAGCGACGGACAATGTGGAAAACTCAGACAGAACTTGTGAAATTAATAACTTCGTTCACCTCCCCCATTCTTTGGCCAAACATATTTATTACAAATAAAGAGACAAACACAAAAGGCAAACAAATAAACGGCCGAGGCAAAGCAAACCTGGCCCAAAACATTCGAGGACGGTACAACAAAGCGTTTGGGGCATTTAATAGGCTTAACTAAGGCGTTCCTGGGGGGCGGGGCAGCGGAAGGGAGATGGCCCGCAGTCCGAAGTGTTGACATGTTGTTGCGGTGCGATTTACACGTTAATTTGAGCAGAAAACTCAATTCTGTGTTTATCTTGGAACGAAAGATACAATTATTGCATCGCCTTCGATTGCTTTGATCAGTTCCTGGACACGTAATTTATTCTTAAGCCGGCTTGGTGTGTGCTCTATAGATATATGGATTGATTAACACATCGGGGTTTCATTTTCCACCTAAAAGATACAAAAGTACTTATAGTAGATACAATCTATTTTATTGAATTGCTCAAAACGGCAAGGGGTCACGTAGTTCTGTTTGTATCTTTACTAAATCGAAACCAAATCGGCTTTTATGACC